CGAGGCTCTCAAAGAAATCCAGAATCTGGTGTGGAATTCAGGAAAAGGGACTGGCATTAAAGATAACTCAGGGAGAACTTCCTGGTGGTCTAGTAGTTGGGATTCTGAGCTTTCACTGCCGAGAGCCCGGGTTCAATCCCTGGTTAGGGAATTAGGATCCAGCAAGCCAAGTGGAATGGCCAAAAACAACACCACCTCTATGTGAATCCTCCTCCTCACCCCTTGAAGTTGAACTTATCGCTCCTGTTTTGCAGATGAAGTTACCAAAGCTCATCAAATGAAAGTTCCTTCTTCAGGGGATCTTCTGGACCCAGGAATCAAACCCGTGACTTCTGCTTAGCAGGCAAATTCTTTACTATGGAGTCCCTAGGGAAGCCCCCGGCCCTGGAGAGGCAACAGTAAATGGGATGGCCCTCACGGAGCCCTCAGTCTAGTGGGAAGAGTAGCTATCCCGCCAGGTCCCCATGCATACCTCTGGATTAGGAACCATCAAACTCCTCATGGAAGAAAAGAGCAAGATTCTTTTTCCTTTTTTTTTTTTCCCCCAGGCTTCATAATTAGTTGTATTATTTTTTTTTTTGTAGTCATCAGATAAATTTTTTTTTAACACGGTAAACACTTTGTCTTGTATTAACAATGTTGTGATAGTTTCAGGTGGATAGCAAAGGGACTCATTCATATATATATACATGTGTGTGTGTGTGTGTGTGTGTGTGTACATTTATCCATTGTCCCCCAAACCCCCCTCCCATCCAGGCTGGCACATAACATTGAGTAGAATTGCAGGTGTTATACAATAGTCTTGTTGGTTATCCATTTTAAATATTACAGTGTATACATGACCTTCCGAAAGTCCCTAACTATCCCTTCCCCCCAGCAACCATAAGATCATTTTTTAAGTCTGTGAGTAAAGAGCAAGATTTTATCAGAGGGTGTAACAGGGGAAGTGACCCAGGGAAGGTCTCTCCAGGGCAGAGGATTAATGTGGGGTCAGAGTGACAAGTAGGAGTTGGCCTGGTTCACGGGTCAGGGAGGGGCAAGAGCTTTCCAGGGAGAAGGCAAATGCCGAGTGGATCCTTTGCAGGAAGTGAGTATGCCCCGTAAGAGGAACATCAGGCCAGTGGGTGCAGCCTGGCAGTGGGCACACGGTAGTGCTTCATGAAACCAAGCAGAAGGAAGAGGCAGGGCCTAGATGGTGGAGGCCTTTTCACACAGTGCCTGCATTCTGCTGCAGGCACCTCTGCTTGAGTCCCCTTGCTGAACCCCTAGGATTCACTACAGTCCCTGGAACATGGGGGAACCCCAGTACAAGTTTGTGGAATAAAAAAGACCTCCCGTTCCCACAATTCTTCTGAGACCCGGGGGCCCAGGATGTGTTGTTTTAAAAAATCTGATGAGTTGTTTCCATCTAATATCAGTTGAGATGGAACTATTTTCATGGATATTTGGGGGGAGAGGTTTGTACAAAGAAACAATACCCCTGCTGCTATTTGAGACACATACATTTATGCGTGCACGCACACACACACACACACACACACACACATGGCTACCTCCCTGGGCTCAGAAGCACGCCTGTCTCTGCCCTGCTCTCAGGTTACTCTGGATCAAGAGCACGTGGTCTGGACTGAATATGTGCTTCCTGAATACCAGATGCTAAGCTAGGAGCCCCCTTGCCACTTCCTGATGGTGGACCTCAGGTGGACAAGTTCCCAAACCTCTCTGAGTATCCATCTCTTCATGTGCAAAATGGGAATAATACGAGTAGTGATGTGACACACACATGCATCTTGGCACACTACCAAGCTCATCGCAGATGACCAAAAATAGGATCAATACACAAATAGTACTTACTGTTCTTCCTATCTTCCTTTTATTAGGATTCGGTAGTTGCCTGAAAGCTTTTACTGCACACGCACCCACCCATACCCAAGCTCTAAGAATCTGGATTTGTTTTCGGGCCAGCTGAGTTTAGGCGAGCACCCTGCCGTCCTCCCTTCCCCAGGCGGGTGGATTCTGAAGCTGCCCCCCGGGCTCTGTCTGAGGTTCCCAGCCCAGGGGAGCATCCCCAGCTCCGCTCCTTGGCGTCCTGTTGGGCCTCCCGGGAGAGCTGATTGATGCGAAGGCCCCGGGCGCCCTCTGCTGTCAGAGGCCAGGCAGGACTTGTGGCCGTCACCCAGGCAGACGCCCAGGGGCGCAGCCCGGAGGGACCACCCAGGCCCTTGGTCTCGGCTGCTGCTACCTTTTCGCTCCCGGACCCGCCCCCACCCCCTTCTCCCTGCTCTTTGCACTAGCTGGAGAACTCCCATCTTTCCATGGTCTCCCTGTTTCCCATGCTTTTCCTCGAGACCCTTCCTATGGCCTGGAAGCTCAGGGAGACAACTTCCCTCCAAGAAGAAGAAGAGTGTGAGCTGGCCCCCTGCCATCCCGAGGCTGGCACTGTGCTGCCACGCACTGAGGTCAGATTTGCACACAGAGTCAAGCCCGGCTTGAAGAGAAGGCGGAAGGGTGAGAGGAGAGGAACGTGGCTCTGGCGAGGGGGTCACTGTCCCCCTCCTCTGCAATTGGAAAATCAAAGCCGGAGAAGCTGTGAGGTGGTGATGCTAGATGGTAAAGTGAAAAGTGATAAGCTTGCCTTCAGCTCCCTCTTTCCAAAGGTACTTGATGTGTCAGTCCAGGGAAGTCAGTTCACATCTCAGAGCCTGTATGGGGCAGGGGCGGGGGTGGGGGAGGTGTGATCATGCCATCTCATGGTGTTGGATAAGGGTCCTGAGGTCACCTGCAGAGAGGAGCACTGGTGTGTAAGTCGCAATGAGTAACAGACCCCTTCTCTCGGCGTCAGCCTGTCTGGGCTCAGCACACCGCGGGGTGCTCCGGCTCTTCCAGCCTTGAGAGCCCGTGACACTCGTGGACAGCATCTTCAGCGCCCCGCACCTGTACAGTAATGTGGGCTGTGGGTTCTGGGGTCGGACCGCCTGAGATCTCCCTTCCCAGCTGTGGTTTTAAGCAGTTACATAACTGCTTTGAGCTTCAGCTTTTCCACCCCTGAGCTGGGGTTGGGGGGTGGGTGGAGTCTTGATGGCACCTAATCCATGTGGTTGGGTGAGAGCTCATGTAAAAGCAGGCTCTCTTTATATTCACGGGGCTGTTCCACATACCCAAGTGTGCAGACAAATCAAAGGCCAGCCACCAACACCTGGGCAGAATCCATGATCACAGGCACACATGTAGATGAGCATGGGCACATGCATGATGCCTAGAATAGCATGCTTACATGTACAAGTTTGGACCCAGAAACTCAGCATCATGCACACACATGCCTGGTCAGCAGTCCCAGGCCCAGCTGCTGACCTCTCCAGGTGTGCGGTCAGACAGACCTGGTTCCAGCCCCAACCTGACTCCCTCTTAATGCTGAACCTCATTTTTTGTGTGTGTAAAATGAAGATAATGATGACTGCCTTGTGGGTTGTTGTAAAGATTAAATGATTAAATGGATGTGAAGTGGTTAGCCAGGTCCTAGCCGAGTATAGAAGCTTAGTCACTAATTGTCAGAGACGATGATGACAAAGATGCTGGTGATATTGAAGGTGGAGATAATGTGTCCACCCCTGGAGTCCGGCCTGCTCAGGGGTCAGACATGGAGAACGTGTTCTCTAAATGAATGAATAGGGGACACGTTTCACAGGTGCCTGGGTTGCAGTACCTGGGGATGTGGAGCACAGGGGGGAAGGTGACCCAAGCTACACAATGCTTGCACATTTCCTTTTGAACTGCCCGAGATCCAGGCTTCAAAGGCATTGCTTTGGCCTCACGGATTTTTGCTTGCCTCTCTCTGGTTTTCATTTCAAGGCTGTCCATTCCAGGTGGCAAAATGAAGCGATAAACATCCTCTCCCTTTGTTCTTTGCCTTCCCCCCTCCTCTCCAGCTTGTGGTCAGTGTCTCTAACTCTGAGGATTTATGAATAAAAAGGGACCTCAGAAGTCAGGTTTGAATATGAAAATGCCCTGGATTCTGTCCATGACAAGTGTCTGTCAAGTTTCCCTTGCATGCCCCCAGGTACGGCAAGCTCACCACCTCTCAGTGACAGGCTGTTCCAACTTCAGGCACATCTATTGTCTAGAAGATTGAAGCATGTCTCCCTGCAATGCATAGTCACCCTGTTCCCCCGCATCTTAAGGCTACCTTTGTTCAGGGTTCAGTGGCCTGAGTTCACACTGAGGTCTGTCTTCTGTTCGCTGGGGTGGTCTTGCAGTGAAGGGACAGAGGCACCCGGAGAAGTTGGGACAGAGCGACCGCTGGCCTAGGAGTGGGGAGATCTGGTCTCGCGTCTGAGCCATGGGATCTCCGTGACGGTTTCACACCCTTTCTCCAGGTTTCAGTTTGCCCATCTCTGAAAGGAGAAGTCCGATCTGAAAGATATCTTGGGATCCTTTCACTTGAGCGCGCAGACACCCCTTCTCTCCAGCTCAGCTCTCCAGCTCTCACCCCCTCTTTCCTCAAGCACTCCACGCTATCCCCGGTTCCCTCTCGTGTTGGCTCACCATCATCACCGCTTATGTAAGGGGATGTTTCACAGCCAAATACACAGTTTATGGAACATCAGACTGCGTCCCGAGCAGCTGGCAGCTTTATCCCATTACATGTTTCAAACTACCCTGAGATCTCACTTTTATAGACAAGGAGACCGAGGTTCCGAGTGGACCAGCAGCTTGCTCTCAAGATCGTGCAGCCAGTCAGAGGTTGGCTGGGATTCAAGCCCCAGCCTGCTGGATTCTAGAAGCTATCATCAGCACTGTTCTTGGGGCTGGGATTCAGGGAGCCAGAGGACTCCATCCCAGCAAGCCCGTCCACCCCCCACCCCCACCAGTCTCTCCCGTGACTCGGGGCTTCCTGCGCTCTTGCCCCACAGCCCCCTCACCCTGCCCACCACCCACCCTGCCCCCCAAGGCCTCCAGCCTCTGCTTCCTCGACCTGGCAGTCTCTCTGCTCCTCTCCACAGGGAGAACAACTTCATCAAGGACTTCCCGCAGCTGGCCGACGGGCTGCTGGTGATCCCGCTGCCGGTGGAGGAGCAGTGCCGGGGGGTTCTCTCCGAGCCCCTCCCGGACCTCCAGCTGCTCACTGGTAAGACACACAGATCCTGGATTCCTGCCCTCCGACCCACCCCCGGCCTTCCCCCTGACCACACCCTGGTCTCCAGGATCAGCCGCTCAGCACGTCCAGGATGGGCCCTGCCACGCCCCTGTGCCAGTGAGGGACGGGATGTGAAAGGGGCCCACCGTTTCTAGAGCTCTTAGGGGCAGTGAAGAACTGGGGGTTTCCCTGAGACTCCAGACTCTGAGCCAAGGCCAGATTTACCCTCTCAGCAAACTTCAGTAGGCAGCGCAGTGTTATTAACCACAGCCACCAGGCTGCACGCGGGATCAGCGAACACATCCATCCCCAGAACTGAACCTCTGGACCCTTCGGCCAACATCTGCTCATCACCCCACCCCCCACCAACCGTCCTATTCTCTGCTTTAATGAGTTCAAAAGTTTTAGATACCACATGGAAGTGAGATCATGCAGTGCATTTTTTAAATTAATTTATTTTTAGCGGAAAGATAATTGCTTTACAATATTGCTTTGCTTTCTGCCACACATCAGCATGAACAAGCCATAGGTATACATATGTCCCCTGCCTCTTGAACCTCCCTCCTACCGCCCAGTCTTTCCCACCTCTCTTAGCCATACCATGGAACACATTGGAGTCATGTCTAATGAGATGGATGAACCTAGAGCCTATGATACAGATCGAAGTATGCCAGGAAGAGAAAAACAAATCCTATGTGTTAACACATATGCATGGAATCTAGAAACATGCAGTTCATGTTTAAGTCATCCTAAAATAAAGTAAGTGGGCCTTCCCCACCCCCACCCCAAGCAGGAGCCTCTTCACTTAAGCGCATCAGTCATGCAGCTTGTTTTTGAACGTGGGCACTGAGCCGTGCTGTAGGGTGGTATTGTTTTTCTCCTTTTGTAGATGAGGCGTCCAGGCTCAGCCAGGTGAAGGGAGCGGCTGAAGGCCACACGGCAGGGCTGCCCGCAATGGGACCAGGTCCTGTGGCTCCAGCTCTTCTGCCCTTTGCACCCCCCTCTGCTGTCCCTGCAGCCCCCGCCAGCCACAGCCTGTCTCTCCCCTCCGAGGAAACAGTCTTCGGCAGGCTCTCCTGAAGCTTGTATTTTTCCATCCCGCGGCAGGACGCCCTCTGCTCCTCCTCATCTGCTCCCACTTCCTCTCTTGCCCTCTTATGGGGACTTTTCCAAGTTGTAAGGGCCCGGGCTTTGCCTCTGTGATCCAGAACGCTGTGGTTCTGCATTAGTGGTACAGACTCTTAGGGTTATTTGTTTTGATTTGGGGTTCCTTAATAAAGGGACCGTTACATTTTAAGAGTTAATTTTTTGTTTTTGTTGTTCATCAGGAAAAACACCTCTCCCCATCCCAGGGCTTCATGTCACTCCTAATCCTTGGGTGGGAATCTAGTACAGGATCAGGAAAGATGGGGGTCAGGAGTTGAGTAGGACCAAGGATGGTTTGTGGTCAGGAATGAGAGGCAAGAGAGTGAGTCAGTAAACAGGTATTTATTAGAGCCTGCTATACATCAGGCTCTGTTTTGGAGTATTGGAACCTCTGTACTCCAGGCTGCGCAGGAGTAGGAATAATGTAGACCATGGCCTTGACCTCAAGCAACTGACATTTCACTGAAATTCCATCCCGCGGCAGGACGCCCTCTGCTCCTCCTCATCTGCTCCCACTTCCTCTCTTGCCCTCTTATGGGGACTTTTCCAAGTTGTAAGGGCCCAGACTTTGCCTCTGTGATCCAGAACGCTGTGGTTCTGCATTAGTGGTACAGACTCTTAGGGTTATTTGTTTTGATTTGGGGTTCCTTAATCAAGGGACCGTTACATTTTAAAAGACTTAATTTTTTGTTTTTGTTGTTCATCAGGAAAAACACCTCTCCCCATCCCAGGGCTTCATGTCACTCCTAATCCTTGGGTGGGAATCTAGGACAGGATCAGGTAAGATGGGGGTCAGGAGTTGAGTAGGACCAAGGATGGTTTGTGGTCAGGAATGAGAGGCAAGAGAGTGAGTCAGTAAACAGGTATTTATTAGAGCCTGCTATACATCAGGCTCTGTTTTGGAGTATTGGAACCTCTGTACTCCAGGCTGCGCAGGAGTAGGAATAATGTAGACCATGGCCTTGACCTCAAGCAACTGACATTTCACTGAACGAGCTTATATTCCAGGTGGAATCCAGTATGGACCAGGAATAGGGAAAGCATAGGATGGAATGATGATTACTTACAGGGAGGCTTCAGGAGGGAATGAGGGGCAGAGAAGCTGGTCTTGTAAATGTTTTGATAAGCAAAAGAGGCAGTAGGTTGGGGACTTCTGCTTTTGTTTATTTGATGTTGTTGTTGTTGCTTTTGTGTTTCGTTTTGTATTTTTCTTTTGGTGCTTAGTTGCTCAGTCGTGTCCGACTCTTCACAACCCCATGGTCTGTAGCCCACCAGGCTCCTCCGTCCATGGGGGATTGTCCAGGCAAGAATCCTAGATTGGGTTGCCATGACCTCCTGCAGGGGATCTTCCCAACCCAGGGATCGAACCCAGGTCTCCCATACTGCAGGCAGATTCTTTACCGTCTAAGCCACCAGGGAAGCCCTTTGGACACTATCAGTTCAGTTCAGCTCAGTTCAGTCGCTCGGTCATGTCCGACTCTTTGCGACCCCATGAATCGCAGCACGCCAGGCCTCCCTGTCCATCACCAGCTCCCGGAGTTTACTCAAACTCACTACCACCAAGTAAATGAGCTGCATCAGCAACCTGCACTGAAATGTCTGCCTTGTTCTCTTGGGGATGGCCCTGGTTGCCAATACCCCCTGCCAGTCTGCTCTGGATTAGGACGGGCTATCATAGATGGGGCAGGGACTTCCCTGATGGTCCAGGGGTTAGGACTCTGCAATTCCACTGCGGGGGGCAAGGGTGTAATCCCTGGTCGGGGAACTAAGATCTTGTATGCGGAGGCACGGCCAAAAAGGTAATAATAATTAGATGAAACAAGATTAAACATCTAGAAAAAAGTAATAGTAGATGGGGCGGAGGCTGCCTGGGGCTGGCATCCGGTCTTCCCGTGCAGACTGTTTCCTTCACCCTGACTCGAAGCATGGCCCTGTCCTCCTCTCCCACCCTCTCTCCTCCTCTCCCCAGTGTCTGCTTAGGACGGGCAGGGCAGGCAGAGCAGATAAACAGAGAGGATGTATTTCTAACAAAACAACCTCGCTCCAGTGGACTTATCTTTGGGGATCATGAATATTTTACTTTAAAATGAAAGCCTCTAAAAAATTACATTATTTCTGAAAAGGCTAGGGAGGAAGAAAAAAAAAAAAAAGAAGTTGACAGTAATGGACAACTTTAATACTGCAGTAATGTCCAGGAAGAAATCATTTGTTCCATGAGATTCTCATTTTAATCTTGGTATCAAATACCTCTTTAAGTGCCTCCGCACCAGGGGACAAGAGAAAAGGATAGAAAATGTGCCTGCCATTTGCCGAGGATACATAACAACAAAAATAATAACTGCTGATGTGACTAGCATTTCTTTTTCATGTCTTTTTTTTTATCCTGATTACAAAAAAGGGAGTCTGCAGTGCTTAGAGTAGAAAATTTAGAAAATGGAGATGAATATAAATCAGAAAACAGGAATCTTTTACACATCCACTTGCTAACCAAGTTAACCACTTGTTAACATTTTGTTGTGTTATTTTCTTTTCTTATTTATGTTTTGTCTATACTTGGGTTTCAAAAAACATATTCTATGAAACTTGAGTGTCAGTGGGCCCTAGAAATGGGGCTCCTTGGCCAAAGACATTTGCAAAATGCTGCACGCAGTCTTCCTGTACCTTTAAAATGTATATTAATTTATTCAAGGAGCTGAGAAATTATACAGTCTGTTTTTTTTTTAATCTTGTTCAACTTTGTTTAGCCAGTGTTTCTCGATCTTGTTTCAAATGGGAAGCTTTTATGTGTGCACACAGGTATTTCATGAGACATCAAAGGACGTCTCATGGTTCCCTGTTAGGAAATGGTCTGTACAGGGTGGGCGGACATAAAAGGTCAGCTGGTGGATGTGCGGGCTTTGCATGGGGTCCTGTCACAGCTGCTTAGCTGTGCTGTCTTTGCACAAAAGTAGCCTCAGGCCATAGGTGATGCACGGGCCCCCAGTCCACATGTCGGGCATTTCGAGGTGATCAAAAGACTCCCACTGCTCTTAGTTTATTTGAGTCTCACAACACACCTACGAAATAAGGTCAGCCTAGGTAGCCATGGGATCCGAAGGGGAAACTGAGGCACCGCAGTGTCTAGTGCCCCTTGGCAAATTGCCTCCGGGGTTAAGTGGAAGCAGAAACCCACTCTTGCTTGTAGGGTAAAGGGGTCATGTGAGCTCCAGAACAGGGAGAAAAGGGTGGCTTGAGGCCGAGGTCAGAGGCCAGGAAGGAAGAGGCCTGGAGGCGGGGTGCAGATCCCACCATCGGCCCCGGAGGACCGAGCCTCTGTCCACTTAAAAGAGGGGGCTGCGACCCAGGGCCCAGGGCTGCAGGGCGGGGTTGCGGGGTGAGGCCTGTGAACGCGGGGCTCACGTGACCTCCTCCTCCCTCCCCAGGAGACATCAGGTACGACGAGGCCATGGGGTACCCCATGGTGCAGCAGTGGCGCGTCCGCAGCAACCTCTACCGTGTGAAGCTCAGCACCATCACCCTCTCGGCAGGTGAGCCCCGCCGTCCGCAGCCGGGGACGTGGCGTGACTCAGCACAGTCCCGGGGCGTGCCAGGGCCCGTGCTGGCACGGGGGATGGCTGAGGATTGAGGCCTCGCCCCCTGCCATCAAGGAGCTCACAGGGAGGGTGGACGGACGAGCAGACAGATGGTGACGGCCACACGTTACAGGAGGTCAGTGCAGTAACGGGACCGCCGTCCGTTCTGGGAAGTCAGAGCGGCTCCTGCAGGAAGCGGGGGTCTGGGCAGGGGGTGACAATCTAGGTCACGCTCACGTGCTCGAAGTGTTTCAGGCGTGCGGATTCTTTCAGGCACTGATTCCTCTAGTCTCTTCTGATTTCCTTTCCTGCCCATCTCCTCCTACTCAGCAGTGATGCATCCCCACTCCCCGTCCCCTCACCAACACACACACACACACACACACACACACACACTGTTCACACTTTGCCCACATGGATCATTCTCTGTGATGCGGATGGCTTATAATTCTCAAATGGGACATTTAGTTTGAGAATTACAGGTCTCAAACGGGACTTAAGAGTTCTCAAAACAGGACATTTTCTCTCTTGGCTTTGTGAGTCTGCACATGCCGTTCCCTCTGCCTGGATCTCCTTGCGTATCCTGTGTTACTCGGAGATGCCGCCCCCATTATCTGTTCCCCGGGAATAATGCAAGGCATTCCCTGCGCTCAACTGCTGATGTTAAAACACTGCCAAGTACCTGATTCGTATCAGAATCCTATCTGTCTCCGGCACCTCAACTCTGACCTGCGAACTGTGGGTCGGGCTTGGATCCTATTTATTCCTGTGCCTTATATTCATTTCGGTCCTCCTTTTTCATGAAGGAATAAAAATTAAACAAAACTGGAAAAGGAATGGGTAATGGACTCTGGAAGATGAGGCCCAAACTTGGATTTTTCTACCCTGACTCTTACTCATGACGATGCCACTGGGTTATTGTCTGAGTGTCTCCTGATTATCAGCCAGCTGCTTTCTTATCTTTTTTCTTTTCCAGTATCACTCTGTTCATGAGCACCATGGAACTCTTGAGCCTGGGTATTGGGAAGTGTAAATAGTGTTTATGGCTGACATCAGCCAAGTGCTTTATAATGTTTTGTATCTTGGGGCTTACATCAGTCTCAAGAGGAAGGCATTCTTTATCCCTTTATTTTTCAGAGAAGGAAATCAAGGGTCAGAGGGGTTAAGTTGCCCAAGGTCACACAGCTAGTAAATGGCAGAACAGGAGTAGGTCAAGGATGTGATGGCAGTGTCGTCTGCCTAGATAAAGAGCCACAGGGCCTCTCCATGGCATTATTTATTACTGAGCAGAAATCAGCTCATTATTAACTCTGTTGTATTAATTACCCAGTTGCATGAGTTAACAGGTTGATGGAGAAGGGTTGTTCTAATCAAGCACCCATTCTTTGAGTCCTGTTTCTGTGTTTGCCACCACCTACACCTTTCCACCGCACTTGTGAATGACTGCCATGTTCCTGTTAGAACTACAAAGGTGTATCTGCTTTAATTAATCAATAATGACGCTCCCGAGAACCCCCTTGTAAATCAAATGTTTGCAAATTGGAGCTCATTTTCAGTGTTGAAGAAGCGCTTGCTCTTTTACATTTTACTTTGATGTGGCGCGGAATCAGTTGTTCTTGTTCTCATAATGGAGTTGGTGCACCTGCCGTGTCTGGAAATTGTGTCGTGGACCTGGTTGGGGGGTGGGTGTGGGAAAGGACGCATGTGCAGACTTAGAGACAAATGGGACGGACCTTCTGCTTTCAAGGTGGTGCCTGCTGAAGACACAGGGAGCAGGTGCCCCAGGCCGGGATGGTGTGAAAAGCGTCCTGGGGGAGGGATAACTTCCTGGGGTCTGGACACATGGACGTGACTTAGAGAGGAAGTGGAAGACCATTCCAGGTAAATGGTGGGGGGTGTGTGTGTTCGGAGTGGGGGAGGGATATAAGTGAAGAAAGTGTGATGGAACTGCTAAATCACATTCAGGAGAAATAGGAAAACAGATTTGGCCAGAGGTAAAGCCTAATGTATGTGCTCATGGGAGATGAGCTTGGAGCCCTGGGATACCCAGGTAAGGTCATTGGGCTTTATTCAGAGCACAAAAGAGCCCGAAAGGTGTTGAGGCTCCTGAAAGCATAGTGGGTGACCTGCCTGCAGGAGGAAGAGGAAAGAGGATCAGTGGTTGCTGGGTGATGACTCTGCAGGCCCTGTGCCAGGCACTGAGGACTCAGGGCCCCTTGGCACGGGGCTAAGGACAATGGAACAGGAAGGAGGCCCCTGTCAGTGGCGGGAGAAAGAACATGCTATTGTTTTGGAGACAGAAAGGGAAGCGATGTTCTAGGAAGCTAAGCCAGGGATTACATCTGAGGGTACAGAATGTCTGCTGAGCCAGGGCTAGCACAGCCCCCTGGGCTCCAGCCGTGGACGGTTCAGGCCCAGGGTAATCGGCTATGTGAGCAGTGTGTGCACCTCGGGGTGAACACAGAAGTCGGTTGGAATCCTCGCTCCTCTGGCTGGAGGACCGAGGCAAATCACTTCCAGTCTCTGACGTTTGACTTGCTCATCTACTGGACGGGGCTCGTCATGGTTGGGACTGCAGTGCTGGACTGAGGTTAAACTAGACGAAGGGGCCAGAACACCGAGCAGCGTGCCTGCTGCACGTTAGCTGCTCAGGAGACCTCAGCCTGGATCTTTCCTGGCTGTGACCTTCGGGTCGCCAGCTTCTGTCCCTCCCCTGCTGTTGACTCCCTCCTGGGGTCCCTCTCATGTGTCCACCAGAGACAGCGGTCTTTGCCAAGTAAGGGAGGGATGCTGTGCACGTTTGGCCAAGGCTATGGTGAAGGACAAGGTGCCAAATCCGGGCCTGCCGTTTGCCGGGCGCCAGCCTCCCCGCTCTGACCCCCTGCACCTGCTCCTCCTCTGTCCAGGCTTCACCAACGTCCTCAAGATCCTGACCAAGGAGAGCAGCCGGGAGGAGCTGCTGTCCTTCATCCAACACTATGGCTCGCACTACATCGCAGAGGCCCTCTATGGCTCCGAGCTCACCTGCATCATTCACTTCCCCAGCAAGAAGGTCCAGCAACAGCTGTGGCTCCAGTACCAGAAAGGTAAGCCTGGAGGGCTTGCTGGAGGTGGCGGCCAGCTGAGCCGTGGAGGTCAGGCTGCCGGGGGGGGGGGGGGGCAGGGGTAACTGAGCTCCTGGGAGCGAAATCCTGGCTCTGCCACGTAGGAACTGGGCGGCCGCAAGCAAGTCCCGCGCCTCTCTGGGCTTCGTGTTCACTGGGGATGGAATGAGGGGCCGTGTGATGATTCCTCAGGATTCTTTCAGTTCAGGCGTTTTCTGAGACCCCAGGGTGGACTGCGGAGCTCTGGTCTTCTACTGCGAGTTTCTCGTTTCCCACTCTGTCCTCTCAAAGCAACTGCCAAGGTCAGGAGGCTGGGGAGACTGTAGGGGCGGGGAGTGCTGTCTCATGGACGCCTTCTCTCCAGGCTTCTTGGAAGAACCTCAGGAGAGCGCCGGCTCCTTTGGGAGTGGCCAACTCACTCTGAGGGGAGAGTTTCAAGTCTCTGCCATGGAGACGCCTTTACCCTCAGGCAGGATCACCAGGTCTTACTTCAAACACAGAAGTCGGTTGGAATCCTCGCTCCTCTGGCTGGAGGACCGAGGCAAATCACTTCCAGTCTCTGACGTTTGACTTGCTCATCTACTGGACGGGGCTCGTCATGGTTGGGACTGCAGTGCTGGACTGAGGTTAAACTAGACGAAGGGGCCGGAACACCGAGCAGCGTGCCTGCTGCACGTTAGCTGCTCAGGAGACCTCAGCCTGGATCTTTCCTGGCTGTGACCTTCGGGTCGCCAGCTTCTGTCCCTCCCCTGCTGTTGACTCCCTCCTGGGGTCCCTCTCATGTGTCCACCAGAGACAGCGGTCTTTGCCAAGTAAGGGAGGGATGCTGTGCACGTTTGGCCAAGGCTATGGTGAAGGACAAGGTGCCAAATCCGGGCCTGCCGTTTGCCGGGCGCCAGCCTCCCCGCTCTGACCCCCTGCACCTGCTCCTCCTCTGTCTAGGCTTCACCAACGTCCTCAAGATCCTGACCAAGGAGAGCAGCCGGGAGGAGCTGCTGTCCTTCATCCAACACTATGGCTCGCACTACATCGCAGAGGCCCTCTATGGCTCCGAGCTCACCTGCATCATTCACTTCCCCAGCAAGAAGGTCCAGCAACAGCTGTGGCTCCAGTACCAGAAAGGTAAGCCTGGAGGGCTTGCTGGAGGTGGCGGCCAGCTGAGCCGTGGAGGTCAGGCTGCCGGGGGGGGGGGGGGGCAGGGGTAACTGAGCTCCTGGGAGCGAAATCCTGGCTCTGCCACGTAGGAACTGGGCGGCCGCAAGCAAGTCCCGCGCCTCTCTGGGCTTCGTGTTCACTGGGGATGGAATGAGGGGCCGTGTGATGATTCCTCAGGATTCTTTCAGTTCAGGCGTTTTCTGAGACCCCAGGGTGGACTGCGGAGCTCTGGTCTTCTACTGCGAGTTTCTCGTTTCCCACTCTGTCCTCTCAAAGCAACTGCCAAGGTCAGGAGGCTGGGGAGACTGTAGGGGCAGGCAGTGCTGTCTCATGGACGCCTTCTCTCCAGGCTTCTTGGAAGAACCTCAGGAGAGCGCCGGCTCCTTTGGGAGTGACCAACTCACGTCTGAGGGGAGAGTTTCAAATCTCTGCCATGGAGACGCCTTTACCCTCAGGCAGGATCACCAGGTCTTACTTCCTTCCATTTCTCAGCTATTTATCAGAATTGGAATTTCCCTGTAGCAGGAGACCCATCCCTGTCACTCCCCTTGGAAAATCTGTCCCCTTCTCACCTCAGTTTTCCCGTCCTGTGAAATGGGTACTCTGGCTATTCCTGTCCACTTCCTACATTAAAGGGAAGTAGTTTATGCGATAACATTTTGAGAAAGATGGACATATGGCTACATACATTATGTATTATAACAGTTCCATGTAGTCACAGGCCCCTTTGACCAATGAAAAAATGAGTGTCGGATAGGCCAACAAGTCAAGTGCCCTGTAGACATATAACTAATATGCAGCGGGGTGAAGATCACTTCCTATTATCATTGTTACTATTATTATCAATTAATTTAACAAGAGAGGCTCTCGACTGATGGGAAGGGTGAGGAGCGACGTTAACAGTGGGCTTGTACCTTCTCCTTGTGGCCCAGCCACATGGCCTCCAAGAACCAAACCAAGCGTGACTCATCAAACCGCAGAATGCAGGTGCTGGAAGGGGTCTGACAGTTCTCACTGGGCTCAGCGCTCTCGTTCTACGGCTGGGAAAACTAAGGCTGAAGGAAAGAAGACTCTGCCTCAGAGTCCCACAGCTCCCCTGGATCGGGCTGTCCATCCCCTGGATGGAGCTCCTGCCTTTGTCCTTTCCAGAACCCTCCCCTTGGCACCCTCCGCCCCGTCATGGTCTCAGCCCGCCTCCCCTCCTGTGTGCAGCTGTGTGGGGCACGGGGTGGTTTATAGGCACAGGGGAATAATTGAGTTGTCTGGGAATAGCTTCGTTTTATGGCTGTGACAATGACAGTCTTTAAGGAAGTGCATTAAATCAATAGAAGTCTCATTGTGCTACCCTATAAATAACGTGACACATCATTAAGCAGAGCAATAAGCTTCTGGACTTTGAAGTAATACAATTAGGTTATGTTTATAAAAACCTTCCTCACTGTGGCCACTGAACTAATTTGCTTTGTCCTGCGTTCGGGGCCTGGGACATGACTCTCAGGCTGCACCCCTCCCACAGCCTTCCTCGGCTGCTTCCAGGACCTCGACTTCTTCATCCAGAGAATGCCATTCTTTGTCCAGTGGTTTATGGCAAGTAGGATGGGGAGAGGGGCAGACAGAAGCTGACACGGCAACCAGGGGTCCCCTTCAAGACTCAAACAAGTTTCAAGTTGGTCATAAACTTGCTGGCCAGTAGCTACTGAACTTGGTCCAGTAGCTTTGCCTTCTGGGCTTACAAGGCAAAGGTACTTTTCTCTCCTCTCTCTCCAGTGTTGGCTCCCAGAACAGGATGATAGTAAAAAGTGAAAATGTTAGTCGCTCAGTCGTGTCCAACTCTTTGCAACCCCATGAACGTAGCCCACCAGCTTCCTGTGTGCATGGAACTCTCTAGGCAAGAATGCTGGGGTGGGTAACCGTCCCCTTCTCCAGAGGATCTTCCCGACCCGGGGACTGAACCCGAGTCTTTGCCTTGCCGGCAGTTTCTGAGCCACCAGGGAAACCCCAGAACAGCGCAGTGATGCACTAACACGGCGTCACTGATCTGTGAGCTTCTTCCTCTCTGTCTTTACTCTGTCTTTACCTGAGGTGACACCTGGGCAGTGCATCAAGCACTGTAGTTTTACTTTTGAAACTTGGAAGTGATGCTGGGGAGGAAGTGGTAGAGAAGCTGGAAAATTTCCCCTGAACGATGAAAAAACTTCTAGACTGACAGATAGTTGAGGGGTGTCTCTCTCCCCAACCACTTTTGTGTCATCAACATCTGTGTGTCATTGACATCTGTGAAACCAGGGTTCACTAGGGAGCAGGTCAGGATGAATCTGGGGTTGGAAGCCAATCACTCAGAGCAGAGCTTGTGGGGAGAGGACAAATTAGAACAATGTCAAGTGGGACAGTTCTTGTTTAGCTGCTAAGTTGTGTCCAACTCTTTGCGACCCTATGGATTTAAGCATGCTACGCTTCCCTGTCCTTCACCATCTCCTGGAGTTTGTTCAAACTCGTGTCCATTGAGTTGGTGATGTCATCCAACCATCTCATCCTGTGTCACCCCCTTCTCCTCCTGCCTTCAATCTTACCCACCATCAGGGTCTTTTCCAAAGAGTCAGCTCTGGAACTTCAATCCCATGGCCTCCAGAATGAAACCCACAATCCCAGAAAACTAACCAAACTGATCACATGGATCACAGCCTTGTCTAACTCACTGAAACTCTGAGCCATGCCAGGCAGGGCCACCCAAGGCGGATGGGTCATGGTGGAGACGTCTGACAAAATGTGGCCCACCTGAGAAGGGAATGGCAAACCACTTCAGAATTATTGCCTTGAGAACCCAGTGAAGAGTGTGAAAGCCTTTTTCAGGTGGGACAGAAAAGATTTCAAGTCCTGGTACCTCTTCTTACATCCCTGTCAGGAAACCTCAGGCAAAGTAATTCCTAAGTTTCAGTCTCCTCGTGTGTCAAGTGAGGGACAGTAATTCCCTTGCATGCCTTTCGAGAGAATGAAATGAGCGCATACCTACCTTGCTTATAGTAAGTACATAAAAAGCTGTAGTTTACCATGAAGTGAATGCTATGGCATCCGCTGAGCATTGATCATCCACAGCTCTTGCTAGTGTGTGGCTTCAGCCCTTATTTCTTCCTGAGAAACACGTATGTCACGAGTCCCTGCAAATATCCTCACAGTAGAGGAAAGAGGGCTCCAGAATTCTTTGAACTCTATGTGGTTTATTCTTGGCAGGAAAGGCCAAGGCTGAAAAAGGAGGTCGGAGGGAAGAGACCAAATGGGGCACGTGTAACAACCACGGACATCGCACAGCCCTTCACAGTTCACAGTCTGGCCTTTGGTCTTCCCACCTACCCCTTGAGGCATAAAAAAGGCAAGAGGACCCACCTCTCATCACTGAGAAAGGGAAATCTGAACTCAGAAGTGATTGGGGGCTTGCCTGGACCACACCAGGTGTTACTGAATGAACTAGTGTTTAAATTCCAACCTGAGTCCAATGTCCCGGTCTTTCCAGGTTTCCTAATTAATGGTGGGGCTCTGGTCACTGTTGTGATCCAGCCACTAGAAATGATGGAAGGCCAAGGGGGTTGGGGTGGATGTGCCTGATTAAAATGTCTCCCATGAGAGTTTTACTCTCATTCCCATAAGTGCTTCCAAGTGTGCATTGCACAGGAAAAAGAAAGTCACATTGATCATTCATTACCCTCTGGTTCACTGGTATTTCCTAAGTGCTTCTTCACTGCAGACCTCGTGTAATGCTGGGGCATTACAGTAGGCAAGACATGGGTGCTGTCTACACGTGGGTTCAGCCTGTACTAGCCTTCCAATACTCTGTCATTTCTGTGATAGACATTCTTTTTTTGATCTATTGATAGGCAACTGGAGAAAGGCAGGTGGCTGGCGTGTGGTAGGGAACTCAGTCACTGTCACAGTGGCCCGTGAATTTTGTTTCATATGCCAGTTCTGATCAGTTGAGGAGTGGCTTGTCCAGACGCTGTGTGGAGGTCACTGGGGTCATCAGAAAAGAACGCTGGTCAATTAGCTTGTCAACGTGGTCAGTTAGCAGTATCTGCTCTAGATGCAGAAAGGGGAAGTTGTGGTCGACACTTACGTATTGCTTCCATGTAATAGGGCGAAGTGAAAGCTAGAATAACAGGCCCAGCTTCTGATGCAGATTCCAGAAAGACCTTGGGAATGCCTCGGAGAACGGGAAGGATCCAGGCAGGGAGGAGGGGTTTCCTGTCACCGAGTGGATATTCCGGGCATTCCACCAGTCTGACGGGGACTGGAGCGCTGCACGGTCAGCTGGATGGTGCTGGCAGAAGCCAGGGACAGCTGGACCTCAGGAGGCAGGTGCAGTATCTGAAGTCATCCCAGGAGACGCCCAGCCCAGGCACGGTTCCCTCGGAAGCTCTTCCGTCTGCCGGTTTCCCTCGGCCATCACCTCTGCTCCCAGGCCAGGCTCCAACTGCCTTGTGAAGTTTGCGGTTTCTTGTCCCAGCTTACTATTTTCACTCGATGCCACTGCGTTCCTGATACACCTGTATTTTGAGAAGCTACCTTTCTCTCAATCAGGGCTTCATTTCCTTCTTTGACTTGACATGAGTCAAGTCATGACCTTCACACACACACACACACACACACACACACCCCCGAGATCACTGTTACCAAAGGGATGCGGCAGCCACCTGTGGAGGGAGTGGACTGCATCAAGATAACAATTAGGTGCCCAGCTTGTTGCTAGATGAATCATCATTGATGGGTCTATGCTCTTCCTGGATCCCATACCTTAAAAATGGAAAAAATCGATCTTAGAGTGTGAATCAATTTGCCCAAGATCACACAGCGTGTAAGAGGGAAACTGGGACTGACCTTGACACATGAGTCCGATGATAAGGACGCTATATAAAGTTATGCTTCTTCCATCTTGGATAAAGACTGACTCATTTGGAGAAAAAAGACAAGTTGCGGTCAGATGGACCTTGGTTGCAGTCCCAGTTTCCCTCTTACACGCTGTGTGATCTTGGGCAAATTGATTCACACTCTAAGATCAATTTTTCCATTTTTAAGATAAGAGATCTAGGGAGAGCATAGACCCATCAATGATGACTCATCTAGCAACAAGCTGGGCACCTAATTGTTTCCTTGATGCAGTCCACTCCCTCCACAGGTGGCTGCCACGTCCCCTCGGTAACAGTGATCTCAGGGGTGTGTGTGTGTAGTGCACATGTGTGTCTACGGGGGCAGGGGGAGATATGGCTAACTTACTCCCTTCTCTTTTCAGCTGACTTAGGATCCAGGACAGGGGTAGATCAAGAGGGGCCCCTGGGGTCGAGCTGGTGAGGGAGGGAGCCTTGAAGGTCTACTCGGAAGACGTCAGAAGACTCCGTAACCCTGTCCTTTTGTTATGCCCTGTTATTCCATATTCCGGAGGGATGGCGATGCATGCAGAAATAGCAAATCTGGTAGGTTTCCTGAATTTACCATTGCTTCTTTCTCATGGAGAAAGTAACTATGGAAGATAAAGGGTATATGCCTGTAAAGGAATTGTCCATTCTGTGTGTGTGTTTGAGAGAGAGAGAGAGAGAGACAAAGACTGACTGAGGGAGATAGGAGACAGAGAAACGAAGAGGAACAGACACAGGGAAACCAAAATCCACAAAGAGAAATGGAGGGACAAAGTGGAGAAGCGAAAATGTATGCAATTAATGTCTTTTCCAAATTTAGAGACTCGGTGACCCCGCCGAAAGGACATTCTCCATGTGAAGGTTGGACCGCTCTTGAGTCTGGATCAGGAGAGTCTATCTCATAGAGATGTCCCCACAGATAAATGCCTGTCGCCACCTTTAAAAGATGTTTTATCTCTGTTATAATTTCCCAAGACTGTCCAAGGGAATGAATTTCTGCATTTCCATTTGAATTACAATGCACTTTTGAATGTCAGCTGAAGCATACCTAGATTACTCTTTAAAGGAATTCGGGCTGTCTGAAAGGCAGCCCAAGGGGCTGGGGTGGGGGAGGAGAAGGGAAGGATGTAGTCAAGTGTCACCTTTTGTGAGGACAGGGGTGGCCAAGGGGCTGATGGGAGCTGGAGAGCTCTCCCGGGCTTTCAGTTTCCTGCGGGAACTTGCTTCAAAGATGCTGCCCAGACATGCAAGGAGTCGATCTCAGAGCTGAGACCTGCCTGGGTACTGGTTCCACTTCCCTGGTGATTTAATCTTCAGAGCAGGTTTCAGCTCCCGTTTGCTTGCCCTTTTGTTAGCATTTGATGGAGTTGGCCACTTCCTGCTTGAGGCACCGTCTAATGCTTGCTTCCGTGGCATCAGGGGAATCTTCCTGGTGGTTGCCCACCTTCCTTCCGGCCTGTTCCTTCTCTGTCTCCTTCACAGGCTCATTCTTCTCTGCCAGACGGGTCGCTATGGCTTTGCAGGACTGCCACCGTCTCTGTGGCGACTTACAGCCATGCTGTCTGTTAGCATTCCTACACAGATGACTCCGCCTTTGTTGCTGCCTGCAAGCTTTCCTCTGATAATGCGCTCTCATGCTAGCTCCCTGCCTGCCCAGGCTCAGCCCCACACAGCCTAGAATGTTTCCAGTGTTCTCATGAAGAACACCTGTATCTATTTAGAGGCAGGACCACAAACCTAGAAATCCTTCGCAACATCTCCCTCTCCGTTGCTCCGCTGCCCCCCCCCTCGCCATTTCAAAACCGTAGCAAGTCTTATCAACTTCAATTTCCAAATAGCTTTAAGAATCGCCCACTTCTCTCCACCTCACCGCTGCCACCATCATGGCTTGTCTGGACTCTAGCACTCGCCCCCTACCTGGCCTCCCTGCATCCACCTGTCCCCCACCGGTCCGGCTGCACTGCCCTGAGCACATGGATCTGCCTGGTTCTCCAAAGAGACAGAACCATCAGGACAGATGGGTCAGTAGACAGATAGGTAGATAGATACAAATATCTTTATTATATATAATATTCACATATACATGACATACATTTATAATACATATAATATATATGAAAGCTATATATAATTGATTCTGTATCTCTAGATATATATACACGGGGCTTCCGCAGTGGCTCAGTGGTAAAGAATCTGCTTACAATACAGGAGACGCGGGTTCAGTCTCTGGGTCGGGAAGATCCCTGGAGAAGGAAGTGGCAGCCTGCGCCAGTGTTCTTGCCTGGGAAATCCCGTGGACAGAAAAGCCTAGTGGTCTACAGTCCATGGGGCTGCAAAGAGTTGGACACAACTGAAGCAACAGAATTCACGCACACGAACGCGCACGCACACAAACGCACGCACACACACACACACACACAAACACACACACACACGCACACACACACACACACATGCACGCACACAAATGCACACACACACACGTGCACACACACGTACACACACAGTGTTTATCACATAAGCCAATTTCTAACAACAAATCTCTTTATATATATATATATGTATATAATGTTTATATTTTATTATAATATAAATAAAGAGATGACGGTTTTGATCCCTGTGTTGGGAGGATTCCCCTGGAGGAGGAACTGGCAACCCACTCCAGTATTTTTGCCTGGAAAATCCCAGCGGAAGGGGAACCTGGTGGGCTGCAGTCCACAGGGTCACAAAAGAATGGGATACAAATATCTGCACACCTCGTGGCCCAGTCAAGTGCACATAATAAAATGAAGCATCATGGGATGTTTCTAAAATGGAGATTCCCATCATGCCCTTCCTCGGATGCAGACCCCTAGGTGCTTTGTCACTGACCTGAGGCTCATTGCCAAACTCCTCCCTGTGGCCTCAGGACCTTCTCAGACCCACTTAGCCCCATCTGTCCCCACGCTCTGCCTTCGAGTCACACTGAGCCTCCTCCTCAANCCTGAGGCTCATTGCCAAACTCCTCCCTGTGGCCTCAGGACCTTCTCAGACCCACTTAGCCCCATCTGTCCCCACGCTCTGCCTTCGAGTCACACTGAGCCTCCTCCTCAACCATCACGTGGGTTGAAGTCTCAGCCTGGCCACGTTCACCTGTGCCAAGGTCCCTGTGCTGTAGGAGGTGGCTGAGTGTCCCTGGCCTCTCCCCTGCCCCTCGGCCGGCGCAGCTGTGTGTGGGATGGCTCTAGCTCCAGGCTGGTGTTTTTCTTGGAGGCGGTAGGAGGAGGTGCAATATGAGCTGGACACTCCGGGGCCTGTAGTATGCCAGAGGAGACGGCCAACTTAGTCTCCTCAGAATCTGCAAAAAGGTGATACAGGATGTGGTTCATTAAATACAAATAGGCCCAGGAGACTGCCGTTTCCACCAGATGAAATTACCCAAAAAAAGGCCTTTGTACCCGGTTTAGATTGAGCCCGTCTGGAACGGAGCAGCCTTGTCTCTTTTCCTGACGGAGTGTCCTTATACCCCTCTGCCTGTGCTCAGCGCGGTGCATCTCACAGAGCGCTTGCACTACTTTATTGCATCCAGTTTACTGTTCCCAGGCAGCCTGTGAGGTCAGGTCGTTATCTGCATTTCATGCTTGAGGAAACTCAGGCTCAGACGCGTAAGATGATTTGTGGACGTTCACCCCAGGGAACTCAGCAGAGCGGGGATTTGAACCCAGGCTGCTTTCCGCATGTGAGTGATGAGACTTGCCCATCCAACTCTACCAGAGCAGCCGCAGAGAGCTCTTTAGGTGTTGGCATCAGACGCAGGGGAGCCGTTCCTGCTGCTTGCTGCCTCTCTCATCCACAGGTGAAAGAACTGGGGAGCGCCGAGACTGGGAGTTGAGTTCCTCAGCTCCGGCAGGGGTGGAGGTGCTCTTCTTTATTCACCCCTTGCACAACTTGCTTCTCTGTCTTAATTCAGGGGCAGTGCTATAAAGTCAAAATCCTAAAAAAACCCCAAAAAAACCTCAGATGCAAACTCCTAGGTGCCTTGTCATTGCCCTGAGGCTCATTTCCAAACTGTCAGGGCGGGGAGAGGCCTCAGCAAGAATCTAACCAGGCCTGAGTTTCTCTTTATGTGTCAGTTATGATCAAATGGTAGTGACTGTCATGCTGCATCGAACGAGATGTTTATCCAGACCAGGCTTGGTGGGAACGAATGCAGCAATCTTAG